TTTTATTTCCCAAGATTCAGGTACACGGGAATTCAGTAAGTCTTCTAACTCCTGAATGTGTGGCCAGTTAACTCACTTGTACTCGTGAGCTGTCACAGCTACCTTGTCTCCATCTTTCTGTCCCCGCTGTTGCAGTTCTGGAAAGACTATGACTGTAGTGATCGGTGGTACCTGCTAAATACTGCCATGCTGGGCACTGTTCCAAGCACCTCACTTACGTATTGCCTTGTTGAATCCTTATGGCACCTCAGTGAGCCGGTGACTGTTAAGATCCCATTTTATAGATGAGGGAATTGGTGCTCAGAGAAGGTCTATAACTTGCCCAAGGTTATCTACTTGCAGAGTCAGGATTTGAACCTGGGACCTGGTTCCAGAGACTGTGCTGTGAAATCCAGGACCTTGAACCGCATCCCCGCATTCACTGCAGTATGTGTGCCAGGCCGAGAGCTTCGGTTTAATCTTTTACCTGTCTTACAGGGAACGTGGCATTATCCCACCATGTAGTCTGCTTGACGTTCCCATTCGATAAGTGGCTGAGCTGGGGCTCAAACTCTGGTCTGCCTGGCCTCGGAGCCTGGGGATAGCCACACGCCATGGATGCCACTCCTGCCGTTGGAATGGAAACGACTGGGACCCCTTTCTGATCTTCTTGCCCCTTGTGTCTCCCGACCTCAGTGCCTGCCTTCTTCCTCTCCAGCTCTGGGGCCTGCCTGGGACAATGTCTGCAATCTTAGACCTTGTGGAGGATTTGAAGGCAACTTGGGACCCTACAGGGAATGTGTCCCAATTTCCCATTTCTTGCTGTGTGTTACTGAACACTCGCATCAGATACTAGTGAGAACGGAAATGGGGCTTGTCAGGGTTGGATTCATTGCTAGGCACATAGAAAACGCTCATTACGTGACAGCCACTATTTCGGCCATTAGTGTTAGAAGCATAGTAGCTAGAGAGGAGTGGCTTCGCTGGACCACTCATTTCACAGAATTCAGTTAAATAAATCCCAACTAAGCACTCAGCATGTGGGAGCTCAGGACACATTGTGATGCGTGATGTGCTATGCACCTTTAAGGTGTTGTGCGCCAATGGGGGAGATAGGTGACTACTTACTGCACATCTTTTTTTATTTATTTACTTATTTATTTAATTTAATTTTTATTTTTTGAGGCAGAGTCTTGCTTTGTTGCCCAGGCTAGAGTGAGTGCCGTGGTGTCAGCCTAGCTCACAGCAACCTCAAACTCCTGGGATCAAGCGATCCTTCTGCCTCAGCCTCCTGAGTAGCTGGGACTACAGGCATGCACCACCATGCCTGGCTAATTTTTTCTATATATATTGGTTGGTCAGTTGATTTCTTTCCATTTATAATAGAGACAGAGTCTCGCTCTTGCTCAGGCTGGTTTTGAACTCCTGACCTCGAGCAATCCGCCTGCCTCGGCCTCCCAGAGTGCTAGGATTACAGGCGTGAGCCACCGGGCCTGGCCCTTACTGCACATCTTGCAACATGCTGGTCAGAATAGGTGCCTTTTCATCTGGGTCCGAATAGATTAGTTGGGTTTTGTCAGATTGGAAGCAGGGAACGGACATTAGGAAAGTGGATTCTGGCCAGGGAACCCATGAAATAAACATCTGTTGGACTATATCTTAGGGGAAAGGCTCTCACATTTGTGAGTGGGGTCAAAACAGCACAGTCTGAATTACTCCGGAGCAGGGGTCCTCAAACTACGGCCCGAGGGCCACATGTGGCCTGCTGAGGACATGTATGCAGCCCGCCAGGTGTTTTTGCCACCGCTGCCTGTCCTGCTTAGCAGCCGACCCGTCCCGGGCCCACAGTGCACATGTGTGGAATGTGCGCCACACTCTCCAATGGCCCTTCAACGGTCTGAGGGACAGTGAACTGGCCCCCTGTTTAAAAAGGTTGAGGACCCCTGCTCTGGAGGGTCCCTTAAGAGGCTGCTGGGCCAGACGGACTCTGTGCAGTCGAGGCCATGGAAAGGGGTTGGACGGTGTTCAGGGCCTGCGAGAAATGACAAACGCAGACGTTTCAGTACAAGGACCATGTTCGCGGTGGTGAGCGGTCCCCTCCAGGAGAGGCGTGGCAGAGCCAGGGGACCAAGGGCCCATGGAGCACAACTCTCCGGCCCCCCAGTCCAGGACACCCCTTACTGAGCGTGCTGGTGGCGGAGGTGCCCGCACTGTGCATGTGTTCTATAGAGCACTCCCATCTTGCTGAGGCCAGCGTGTGCTGCTCAGGAGTGTGAGCCAGACGTGTGCATGCCACGCGGCAACTGGCAGACATGGGCGTCTGATGGGGAAACTGCCAATAGAGTGCGTTTCTTTGATCGGGAGGAGATTTCATCTCCTCCAGCCTGCCGTCGTCATACAGATGCCCTATTCCTGTGCCCTTGTATGAGGTGTGGGCCAGCCAGAACGCCAGTGGGGAAGAGGCCCTGTGAGAAAATTCAGAATTCAAACAGGCCTTGGAGTAGAGGAACAGTTCCCCTTTGTGTCCATAGCACGCAGCTGCCACCTGCTCTGGGTTTCTTGAAGATAAGAGCCAAAGAGGTATTACCCTGCCTGTCTTCAGTAATATATTAAGTCTGTTTTTTTGTTTTTTTGGTTTTTTTTTTTTGGGCTATGGTGTCACAGGAATAAATTTCTCATTTTTTTCTATGGATTTATCAGTGTTTTAAGTTAAAATTCTAACTAATAATAGCATTACGATGAGTTCTTCTAAATTGTTGATGCTCCCTGCTGCAGTCTGTAAGAGGCACGGCCTTGACATGGCATCATCCCATCTAATCTCTCCTGATCCGCAGCACCCCAGGAGGGGAGGAGGTTGGAGACACTGGTCCAAGGCTCTGAGCTGAGATCCTAGTTATGGTCGAGTTAGGAAGGAAAAGTCATACAGCCTCTGTTTCATTGTAGGCGTATGTGAATGGGTATTACTGTTCTCCATTAATAAATCCTCCTTTAAGGGCACTCCTTCCTTAGGTGAGTTGGGAGCCTGGCTCTCTCCTTGGGAAGGTACCTGTACCTAGTACGTGCTCAAAAGATGTTTACTGAATGAATGAATGGGTGAATGCGTGAGCTCTGGCCCATCATAACTCCAGGCAGAGCAGGGACAGGGCCGGCGGCACACTGCGTTCGGCTTTACCTATGCTGTGCCCTGTTTCCATTCTCCTAGGGGTTGCAGGGTGGCACCCAGCTTCCTTTCTGTCTCTTGGGGCTGGTTAACTCTGCCATTGGCTTAACATTTTTATTTCCTTAGCCCTCCCTCCTCCCCCCTCTTTCTAATCTTTATTAATATGTTTTCTGGAAACATGTTTTCTACTATGAAAATCTTCAAGCATTGAGCAAAGTTGAAAGGATCACATATGGCTCCAGTCTTTTAACACAGTACCAGGACGTGAGCCTTATCACCTGGACCTGTATTGTTCAGTGGGCTTCGGCTTGTGGATGGAGCACACACGTGACACCTGTCTGCTCCCCGGTCCTTATTGCGTCTGTCGGTGCTGTGCACCGTCATGGTGCAGCCGTCAGCAGCACCGACTCTGAGTCAGAGACTGTTGCCATCCTGGCTCTGACACTTATGAGCCGTGTGGTTGTGCAGCCTATTCAGTGACCTCTCTGCGCGTGTTCCTCGTGTGTGCACTTGATTGCCGTTCACTGTGAGTGGCCACAGAACAGCAGTTCTCGCCTCCCCGGCATGTTGAAGCCTCAGGACATCTTTGGGCTCATGACCCCACTTCTTGCCTGGTGTCTTTGGCGGCTGCTTTCTCGCTGGACATCCTGACTGTGAGGGTACGGAGGGACCCGCCGACTTATGCATTTCTCCCCCTCCACTGTCTACTCCTCCTTTCCTTTTTTGTGATTTATTTGTACCCCAACAGAATGGGAATATGACATGCATTTCTTAAGTGTGAATAAAGGATTAGATGAGATTATGCCAGTAAAGGCTTTGAATAGAGTTAGGCAGGTATAAGGATTTAAATTTTAGCTGAAAGGAAGAAGCCAACCAACCATACCTCTTTCCAAAAAAGGATTTGAAGCAGCGCATTAAAGCAGATAAAAAATAACAACAAGTAAAATTGGCACAATGTGGAAGTACAGGTTAGAAAAGGACCAGAGGGAAAGTTAGGACAAACAGTGGTTGGCACAAAGCCACATACATTTACTAGATGTGTGATTTTGGCTTTGAGCTTCCTAGCAGCCAATCCTAAGAGGGAAAGGAGTTCACAGGGTCCATTAGGCTCTGCAGGGGAAATTCTAAAGTGTCTGTCTTGAGATCTGACTGAGTGATTTGGCAGTATCTTCAAAGTGTGGATAGTGACCACGGTTAAATTTGATGGAGATAGGAAACTTGGGTGCTGATTTACTTCAAAGGGGCTCTCTATCCATGAATGCTTTTCTGTGTTGAAGCTTTCCAGAAGAGGAGCTGCTACAAGTAATTATGGATTGTATATTGGAGACACCTCTTCTCTCCCCTTACATTGTCACCTGTATACTAACTGTAGAAGTCACTGTAGGAGAATCCGATCTCATATTAAACTTGAATAATTCTTTCTATGCCAGTGTGGAGCCAAGTGTCACTCAATCTGCTGTCTAGGTTGATAGACAGCTGTAACTGGGAATAAATCATTGTTCAAGATACATTTTTGTCCTGTAGTGGAGACTTGGAAAAACACTTGAACCTGCAAGCCTGATTTACTTGGAAAAACACTTGAACCTACAAGCCTGATTTTTCTGTGGTGTCCGAGTGTATTCACCAAGGAAGCTCCTTCACGTTTACCCTCATCCTGCCCTGCCCTTCTGTTCTGTGGCTGATGAAAGAGTGATCGGCTAAGCCTACTGGATCTCTTAGACTACATAGGAATTATTTTTGAAGGGGAAGAGGGAATTTATCTAGACAAGTCATCCTTAATAGCATATAATCCAGAGATATGAGGGGACGGTGTAACAGGCAAGATCTGCCAATTAACTTCAACTTTGCTTTCTTCTCTTAGATGAACTGCGACAAGCCATCGTGGCCATGATGAATAGGAAGGATGAGATGGAAGAAGAGAACAGGTATCGTGACTGTCAGGCAGGAGCAATAGTCTCTTTCTTTGACATTCTACCTCTGGGACAGAGAGAATATAACAGATAAAGGAGATCTTGCTTTATTGGCAAAATTGTGCCCGGCTATTTATTTATTTTTTTGTCTGGGGTGTGCCACTGTAGTATTTAATATTTATCTCTTGTGTCCTGTGTGTAAGCAAGGAATGAGAACCTCACAATAATGGCACCACCTTAGAACAGACTAAGAATTTGGTAGAGCCGTCTTTAACTCTTTTTTAAACAACAGCCTTTATTGAAATTTAATTCACATACCTTACAATTTACTCATTTAAAGTGTACAATTCAATGGTTTTTAATATCTTCACTGATTTGGGAAATCACTACCCCAGTCAATTTTTAGAACATTTTCATCACCTCACAAAGAAACCCTGTACCCCTTGGCTATGTTACCCACCTCCCTTACAGCAGACTTTTGATAACCTTTAATTGAAGGCCTATCTACCATGTTCCAGCAATTCGAATACTTGTCTTCAATGTTGCCCAAACCAGGGATACTCAGGGCAAGATGATATTCGGATTCTTTTGACTTAGCCAGAAGCCCACATGCAGACACTTGAGAGAGCTTTATTAACCTTTTCTTCGTGGTTGAAACCCATGCTAGATACTACCTGGCATTGGGGGCATCGCTACCCCCTGATGTCTGCAGGTGAGCTGCTCAGCTGCTAGAGCCTTGCCTTGCCTGTGGTGGTCAGTAGAGGGCTCGTGTACAGCTGTCCGCTGAGCCTCTGCAAGCACGATCCGGCTGCCTCCGTGGGGAGTGGGGCGGCACGTGTGCTCCTGGGTGTGTGTGTTCACGTCGCCTCTATTCTTCTACTCAGGGCAGAAATTAAGGGTCCATGGTGACATCTAATCATGATTCTCTTTTCAACCTTGTTCTTGAGCCCTGCTTGACAGGCTTCTCTCTCATCCTTCATGGAAACATATAAAAGCAAACAAGCATGATTTCTAAAACAAAAGAGATTGCTTTTAAAAGGGCTCTCTAGACTGTACCATTTTCCAAATAAAATAAGCTTTCAACAAAAGGCTTACAGCCATTGCAGGATTATTTTCCCTTGCTCCAGCTGGAAGCTATTATCTTGGAAGAAGCCATAGATTTTTGTCTTACCTTGTGAAGAACAATAGTCACTGTCTGTTAATTTTTTTCTCTTTCCCAGAGAAAGAAAGAAAAAATCATACCTCGTGTCAGGGGGCCCCAGGCGCTAAGAGGGGAATTTTCTCAAAGCTTTCAAGGAACACAGGTCTTAGAGATTTCAGAGAACAATGGGAGTGATGGTGGGGGTCAGATGATTTTGCTTATATTCTAAAGTCACTTGGCAAGTGTCCTCTAGATATAGTATGTAGATGTACCACTGTTGGTAATTGTTTTCCAAAAATAGCCATTCAGGTAGGATGAAGTACATGGTCAGCAGAGGCCGTGTGCTGTGGCTCACAACTGTAATCCTAGCACTGTAGGAGGATCGCTTGAGGTCAGGGGTTCAAGACCAGCCTGGGCAACATAGCAAGACCCTGTCTCTACCGAAAAAAAAAAAAAATAGCCAGTCATGGTGGTGCCTGTGGTCCCAGCTACTGGGGAGGCTGAGGGAGGAGGATTAAGCTCAGGAGTGCAAGGCTACAGTGAGCTATGGTTGTACCACTGCATTCCAGCCTGGGCAACAGAGCCAGACCCTTTCTCTTGTTAAAAAAGGGGTCAGCAGAACCGTGTTTGGCTCTCTTTTAGATGGTAACTTACGATGATTTCTAGAAGACCTGCTGTCCTCTCCTTTTTAAAATAAAATCAAGGATGATAGATGCACAAGTGACCGTGTTTTGAAGGGCTAACAAACTTGGGAGTATACAGCACTACTCTACCATATCAGACTGGATGCCCCGTGAAGCTTGTTGCACCTGGAGATGGCAGTGAAACGCAGGCTCAGAGTGTGCTTTGTGGGTGGAGGCGGAAATGAGACCAGACATTTGTCGGATAATCTGAGTGGGTATCCTATTTTTATGTCTCGGATTATTCTTTTAGCCTCTCTTGGCACCCTTTTCTTTTCTTATCTACCATGGCTGTGACAAAATGGCCCCAGTATAATGTGCTATACCTTTGAGTGGGGTGTCTTTAAGGGGACTTGCCTGGGATTGGCTCAGCTTGATGTTTTCCCCTGATGTAAGTTGTCAGGTGGCTGGCCTGCCCTCAGGCCATCAGGGACATGGAGCCCGGCTGCAGGTGACTGCCCTGGGGCTCATCCTCATTCTTAGTCTGAGGCTCTTGACCAGACTTTGTCATCTCCTAAGTCAGTTTGTATGAGACCATCAGGACTCGACTGAGGTCAGGAGCTATGTTCTGGGCTCAGTGGGCCCAAGGTTGATGGCATCCGAACAGACGGGGCCCCTCTTCCCAGGTCACTGCGGAACCTGCTTGACGGTGAGATGGAGCACTCGGCGGCGCTCCGGCAAGAGGTCGACAGCTTGAAAAAGAAGGTGGCCGAGCAGGAGGAGCGGCATGGCATGAAGGTCCAGGCGTTGGCAAGGTAGGGCGGGGAGGGACGGAGAGGTAAGCGTGTGGAAGCTTGGTAAAGCCAGAGCACACCTTTTACCTGCACTTTTTTTTTTTTTTTATGAAACAGTGACCAAAGGAAGTAAAATGTATGCATTTTAGTTGAACTTACTTCATTGAGTAAATAATATGTACTGACATGATTAAAAATACAGAAGGTTAACTATGCAAGTCCCCTCTCTTGTCGCAGCACTCATTTGGTTCCCTGGATGCTGTCATTGTTATCGATACCAGAGATAGTCCACATATGCATGGGGAGACACGTGTGCACATACTGTTTTTTACTCTTCTTTCTCCCCTTCTCCTCTTTTTCTCCCTTAATGCAAAATGGTAGCACATTCCAGGCCGGTCGAGGTGGCTCACTCCTGTAATCCCAGCACTCTGGGAGGCCAAGGCGGGTGGATCGTTTGCGCTCAGGAGTTCCAGACCAGCCTGAGCAAGAGCGAGACCCCCGTCTCTACCAAAAATAGAAAAATTAGTGGTGGCACATGTCTGTAGTCCCAGACACTTGGGAGGCTGAGGCAAGAGGATCACTTGAGCCCAGGAGTTTGAGGTTGCTGTGAGCGAGGCTGACACCACCGCACTCTAACCGGGGCCACAGCGTGAGACTCTGTCTCAAAAAAACAAAAAAGAATGGTAGCACGTTCCATACACTCCTCACGTGACAGCTCAGAGATCGCTCCGTGACGGTACGCACGGGGCTGCCATCTACTTTTCAAGAACTCCTGATATTTCATCGTGTAACTGTACCAGAATTCTTTTGACCAGTCCGCCAACAGCCGGGCTTTGAGGTCGTTTCTAGTCTGTTGCTATTACTGCTAATGTCACAGTGAATCAACTATGTGTTTGTCTTTTTGTTTCTGTATGGGTGTATTTGTTGGAACTATTCCCAGAAGCAGAATTGTCGGGCCAAAGTGCAGGGCATCTGCGAGGGGACAGAGGGCGTCAGTTTGACCCGCCTGGGTGGCGAGCCTGCGTGTTCCACCGAGAACGCGCGCTGCCGTCGGCCGTGCTCGCAGGCGTGGGATCCAGCCTCCGGGTCTCTGATATTATCGTGGGGAAAAACAGTGCTGGCAGAATGCTTTTCATTCCCATTTCTCTAATTAAGAGTGTGATTGAGCCTATTTTTATTTAAAAGCCATTTTATTTCCTTTTCTGTGGCTTTGTGTATATTTTATTAAAGAAAACTGTAAAGTGAACAACAACAAAAAAAGAAATCCTAACTCACATAAAGGCATGCATCTGTACTGCGCTTGCTCACAGGAGAGCATATTTTTATATGCTGTACTTATAATCTGTGCCCACCGTGGTTTAGTCTCCCCGCTTCCACTACTTACTACTGCAAAAGCAGTTTTTTTATTGTTTCCATATAGGCTTCATGTTAACTGTTTTTATGCACCTGATTTTGGTATTTGATTGAGTTAACATACCATACTAAATTGGCCATTCTGGATTGGAATGATCAATTTAGTATGGTCCATTTAACATTTGGTGACTTCCAGTTTTTTCTCATTTTAGGTAAGATAAGCAGTTTATTGGTTGTTCTTTAAACTACTTTAAATAACACCAGGAGAGGCCGGGCGCCGTGGCTCACGCCTGTAATCCTAGCACCCTGGGAGGCCGAGGTGGGCGGATTGCTCAAGGTCAGGAGTTCGAAACCAGCCTGAGCAGTAGTGAGACTCTGTCTCTACTACAAATAGAAAGAAATCAATTGGCCAACTAATATATATAGGAAAAATTAGCTGGGAATGGTGGCACATGCCTGTAGTCCCAGCTACTTGGAGGCTGAGGCAGGAGGATCACTTGAGCCCAGGAGTTTGAGGTTGCTGTGAGCTAGGCTGACGCCACAGCACTCACTCTAGTCTCGCAACAAAGCGAGACTCTGTCTCAAACAAACAAACAAACAAAAAATAAGACCAGGAGAGAAATATGTCCTGTGGATGTGCAGGGGATTCCGGAGTTAAGTCGATTCATAGCAGCAGCATCCACCATCTTGGTGCTGTTAGGTGTTGTGAATGGCACTGATGGGGTTGTTTTGTGGACTAATTGAATGTTGGCACTGTGATCCCATATTTAATTCCTGTTCTTTGAGTTTACCCCCCTTCTTCACATTTTAAATTGATATCTCAAGAGCATCAGAGACAGTTAAGTGACTCTTATAAATAGAGTCATATGTGCCTAATTTGTTCTTTTCTCAGCTGCTCCACCATTTTACCTGGCCATGCCAGAGCTGTGTGGCATAACTGCATTTAATGTTCACAGTGAAGACTGAAGTCTTTAGAGACTCTGGTTCTGAATTGTCGAAGAAAGAATTATATTCTCTGTCACTGTCATGGCTGTATTAGGAGTCAGCTTGGTCTCGAGTCCCTGCTTCATTACTTGCCAGCTGTGTGTTTCTGGGCGAATCGTTCCACTCCTGCAAGTGTGTTTCCTCGCCTGTGAAGTGGAGAGGGTGACCTCATCCCCCCGAGAGGGCCGAATGAGGCGGGAACTGCGTGACATCATGTGAGGCGCCGGGCGTGAGTGAGCTGCTGCGAGTAGATTTTACAGTCAGGGTGTTTGAGCTATGCTAATTGTTGGGAAAATTCTGTCCCATAAATGGGGTAGGAGAAAAACTGATGTCTTATCCGGGCAATTTTATAATCCGAAGTCTCTCCATTTAAACAGTGGGTAGCTAAGAGTTTAAGGTGTCTGAATGTTTGCACTTGACAGGTAGAAGGAGTATCTATAAAACAGATGCAAATTTCAAAAAGAGAAAATAGAAGAAAGCAAACCAATTAGCTGGATGTGTAAGTTTTGAAACATTCAATCGCTGACATGTTCCAGGCAGAGTCCACTGCTGGTGGTCAGAACTTGCTTCTTGTGTCTGGCGGCAGAAGGAGCAGCTGTCAGTGTTGGCAGACGGCGGCCCACTGCAGCAGCGGTTGCTTGGGGGTTGAGGTGCCACTGCTTGGGGGTCGGGGCACAGTGGGGGTGGGGCAGTGGAGCGTCACAGGCTGGAAGGGGAAGCCCGTGTGGGCGCGTTGGGGCCACCCTGTTCTCAGCCACCTGTGCGTTCAGGCGGCAGATTTCATGGTGCATGTGGTTTAGCCCAGAGATTTATGGTACAGGTTCTGGCATCATCAGACTGCAAGGGTCAGATCACGGCTCCACTGCTTACCAGTTGTGTGACCTGGGACGAGTTACTTAACCTCTCTGTCTTTCAGTTTCCTTAGTTATACAATGAGGATACGAAAACTGTCTATCTCATAGAGTTGTTATATGGATGAAATGAGAGACCATGTATCAGTTCAATAAATGTTCTTCATAAATGCTCAGTAAATGTTAAACTGTCATTATCATTTTTATTGACCATAATGATTATGACACTAAGAATCCTTTTCTAACCAAAAGTTATATTTTTAACAGCAGCGGTGTAGCAAGAACTAGGAGCTAGGCTTTTTGCAACTCAGAAAAGTGAAATTTTTTTCTTTCTGTAAGTATTCTAATACTAAGGGTGCATTTGTGTGTGTGTGTGTGTGTGTGTTTTACTGGCTCTGAGTGTGTGGTTGTAAAACTGAAACATCACTGAGTAAATTCAGCATTTGATTACACATTCCTTTTGCTCAAAATTAGTGTCTTTTGTAGAACAAAGTCATATAACTGGCCCAGTGCTTTTGTGGCCCCAGCAGCTGCTGGTTCCTGATGTGGAAGCGTTATATTCAGCTGCAGTTAAGGCTGTGTAAGTCACATTCCTCTGAATAATTGATTGCCTTGTTTCCTGTTGAATGAAGAAAACTCAAGCTATGAGACAGATGTTATGAGAAAGAAGACACAAAACGTACATGAGGAGAAGTGCCTTCGAGGGAAGCAAGTGAAAGGGTTGCTGGATTATTGCGGGGCATTTTCCGTTTCTGCTTGTTGTGTTGTAGCAATGTCATCCCTAGCTGTGTAACAAATTATCCCCAAACTTGGTCACTTAGAACAACAAATGTTTATGATCCTCCACCATTGCTGTGAATTAGGAATCGGGGACTGGCTTAGCGGGGACATCAAAGTCTCTCACGAGGTTGCAGTCATGGTGTCTGTCAGGGCTGCCGTCACCTGAAGGCTTGCCTGGGGACGGAGGGTCCACTTCCAAGCTTGCTCGTGTGGCTGTCGGCAGGAGGCTTCAGGTCCTTGCCACGTGGGCCTCTGCACGGGGCTGCTCACGCACAGCAACTGGCTTCCCAGCGAGAGTAACCCAAGCGCAAGAGAGAGCACACTCAAGATGGGAGCCACCACATTCTTTACGACCACATCTTGGAGGTGACATACGGCCACTTCTGCTGTACTCCACAGTCACACAGATCAACCCTGGTCCAGTGACAGAGGGGACTATATAATAGTGTGGATGGCAGGAGGCAGGGCCCTGAAGGCCATCTTGAAGTCTGCCTGCTGCACCCGCCAGGCCTCTGCCACCCCCTGGGGCAGGCACGACCTGCACTACTCACGGTTATCCAGAGAAACAGAGGAACAGGCTGTATGTCTGTCTCTAGAAAGAGATTTATTGTAAGATAGTGGCTCACATGATGATGGGGGTTGAGAAGTCCCACACACTGCCACCTGAAAGCTGGAGACCCAGGAAAGCGAGTGTGTAGTTTGGGGACCTGGGAGCCAGAGCGCCTGTGTGTGGTTATCAGTGAGTCTGCGGGCTGAGAACCCGGAGTCCCGGGGCAGGAGAAGATTAACGTCCCTGCTCCAGTAGTCAGGGTGACAGGGAACTCCCTTGTGCTGTCTGTCTGTTCCCCTTGAGCCCTGAGTGAGTGACAGATGCCCACCCATGTTGGTGAGGGCCATCCATTTTATGTCCCCAGTCCAAGAAATAATGTGTGACAAGCTAGCCTGGGCATCCTGTGGCCCAGTCAAGTTGACACACAAAATTAGCCATCACACTACCCCATTTTCCTTGGTGGACACTTTCTCCTCCCATTCTGACCATGTGGTTTAATGGGG